CTGGGTAATAAATCATAGTTTCATCACTGTAATGGTTTAAAAACATGCCCTGACCCTTCTCATGACCATTTTCAGAAGGTTCTATATATCTTCTCTTTGAATCTGGGCCAACCTTAGCAACAAACCATCTTGTATATATAGTGGAATCAATGCTTGGTGACTTCTAAGGCTGGGTTTAAAAAAGCAATACTGCTCTGGTCTGTTTACTGCAAGACTTTTTGCTGAAGTCCCAAGCTGCCAAGTAAACATTTAACCACCTCAATGTGGCTATGAGGAAGTGCAAACTAGCCATAAAGGCCCTAAGCTAGCCAGGTATGGTGGCCCAGGCTTTTAATTCCAGCACTAGGAAGGCAGGTCTCTGTGAGTTCCAGGCCAGCTGGGGTACAGGGAGACCCTGTCTCAAAAAAGAAGTCCTAAGCTAGACAACAGAAAGGAGAGAGAAGCGATCAGACGCTGCGAAGATGGATCTAGTTAAGTACATAGATAAATTTGCATAAGCCCATGACCATCTCATATCCAATGGTCTGACTTCAGCTACTGAAGTTACATGTTGCCAAGAGACAACACCACCTGGCTCAACCCTTTCTAAATGGTTAATTCGCAGAAACTGTGGAGAAAAAATTGAAGTGACTTATTTAGGGCACTAAATTTTAGGGTGGTTTCTTTTGCACCACCAAGCATGGGATGGGGCTCACTGGTTCCCACTCCTGAGGACCTAGTAACAGCTAATGGCTTCTGAGGAAGAGAAAGTCAGTTTTCTTTAAGGGTATGGCTCCTGGTAAATTGATCTTGCTCCAGGGGGTGGTCCCACACCTATGAGTATATGAACAGCACACAAAAAAAGGACATAAAGTTGGAAGGGGTGGAGTAGTAAGGGGTGGATCTGAGAGGAGATAGAGGGAACAGTGTGTGCTGTTATGATCAAAATACACTGTATGCATGTGTATTAAAGAGAAAGACCTCAAGCAGTTATAATAGGTCTCCTTGTGTATGATGGAAATTTTTCTGTGTGTGGGGAAGCTTTTAGAGTACAAAAAATTATCAATAGCTATCTTAAAATTCTTTGTCTAGGGGCTGGAGAGATGGCTCAGCGGTTAAGAGCACTGACTGCTCTTGTAGAGGACCCGGGTTTGATTCCCAGCACCCAAATGGAGGCTATGAACCGTCCTTAACTCCAGTTACAGGGGAACTGATGCCCTCTTCTGACCTCCATGGGCATTTCATGGCATGGGTGTGCTTACATACATGCAGGCAATATACTCATACACATAAAATAAAAATAGCATTTAAAAATAAATAATTTTTAAAATTTTCAGCATGGTGGTATATGTCTTTAATCCCAGCACTCAGGAGGAAGTGTCAGAGGCAGGTGGATCTCTTTGAGATCCAGGTGAGCCTGGTTTACAACAGTGAATTTACAATAGAGAGTTCCAGGACAACCAGGACTATAAGGAGACCCTCAAAAAGACACACATCCATTAAAAAAAAAAAAAAATCAAGTACTGGGAACAAGGGTGATGAAAGTCTTTTTGTTCACTTTCTCCATTTCTCCCTCCTCTCTTCCCTAAGAATATTATTTCCTTTCATTATTTATTACTTTTCCTAAAAGGGGCTAGTGATTGTACACACAAATTTGAGGACCACTAAAAACACAAAAACCATTATAAACGTCCCGTAGTTCATAAGATTAATCCACTTGACGTCTATTCTACTACATGAAGGGTGCTACCTGAGATATTTCTGGTTACTGAATTATATTTTTGGTTCTTGCTGTACAGGTATTTGCTCTATGGATATTCCACCTCAATCACTAGGAAAAGCTGGTTGCAATAGACATTGATAGAATTCATCTCTCTGGCTGTCTTTCCTTTTTCGTCATGAGACCCATGGCCTTGGGCACACTAATGCAATGGTACTTAGACTTAATCAAAATACGCACAGGCCCAGACACTGTCCCTAAGCTGGTGAGACAACTAAAACATACAATCCACTGAAGATAGACAAGTGACTATGGAAACACACATTTACTATCACCACTGAACAACCTGAAACAATGTCCTACTGCTAAGTGAGCTGCTTTGTTAAACAGGTGGCTGTTTTCAAATCAATTTCAGAGAATAAGGGGTAAGGGGTGTGCACTAGAAATATAGCTCAGTGGTAGAGTACTTGCCCACCACCACCGGAAACAAAACAAAACAAAACAAAACAAAACAAAAAACAGTAACAACGGAAGGGGAGGACCAAGGGAGAGAAAATGCAAACTACATGGTATTTATCCCATATTTTCAAATCATTCTGCTCAACTTGTACAGTATATCTAAACATCATTCTGTAAGAATATATGTCAGAAAAAGAAAAATAAAGAATATAGCCGGGTGTGGTAGCGCATGCCTGTAGTCCCAGCACTTGGGAGGCAGAGGCAGGCGGATCTCTGAATTCAAGGCCAGCCTGGTCTACATAGTGAGTTCCAGGCCAGCTGGGGCTACAGGGAGACCCTGTTTCAGGAAGGCAAA